ATAATAGTAGGTGTTAAAGGATGTATTAACATTGTTTAGTTTTGGGGATGAAAGAAGTATAAAAATGTATCTACCTTAATTCCCACTGTTTTCTGATTCACTCTGATTTCTCTGATTTCTTTACAGTTCTTTACAGTTAAGCTGATAGGAACCAGGAGTAACAATGTGTACAACACAAATATAGCCATTTCATTTACTGCTGAAAACCACCAGTGAAACTGCATGTGTCTTCTGAGTTTTTATATGTAATGTTTATCGTGGTAAAATAGTTGTAAACATAAAACCAAAAGTTACCTTCTTGTATCATTCCACCATGAGTGAATTAAAATATGTTTTAGACCAAAAGCTTTATCACAAAACTACTGCGAAGCAATGTCTCAGCAGGCAGTGTATATATAACCATTTCATGTAATAACTGGTTCCTGTCACCATCACTGTGAACAAATCTGACTCGGCAAGTTTCTCTAAAATGCAGTATTTTACACCAAACCACTCTGAGTGACTTTATTTAGTCAAGTCAAGTCAAATTTATTTATATAGCGCCTTTTACAATAGATGTTGTCACAAAGCAGCTTTACAGAGAATCCGGGTCCATGCCCTCAGTGAGCAAGCCTTGGCGACAGTGGCAAGGAAAAACTCCCTCAACAGGAGGAAGAAACCTCGAGAGGAACCAGACTCAAAAGGGGAACCCATCCTCCTCTGGTCGACACCGGATAACAGCACAGAACATCCTGACCATTCAATTATGCAGAAAGTTCAAAAAAAGTCTCCTTTTAGATAGAAAAAGAGAATTCTTTGTGATTTCTACTTTGAAAAACAGTAAACATGGACATCAAAAATTATATTTTATGATTTTACTTATACCTACACTTGTACAGATGGTTGCTGATAAAGGGGGATCTACAGGTTATTAAATTCAAGGGTTCATTTACTTTTTCTAGCCCGCACTGTGGATGTTTATTCAATGTGCTCAATAAAAGACAGGGAAAGTACAACTCATGTACAACTAGATTGTGCTTGTGCATAACCGTGACTTAGATAACAATCAGACCATATTTTCTTAGTAACCAATGCAGCATTCCAGGTAATTCCAAAGGGTTCACTTACTTTTTCTTGCAACTGCATAGTTACATTTGTTTCAGCTTTCAAAAGAATTTTAATCATAATCTGAGTTCCTTAATATGAGCTTAAATACATACTTACACTGTAATGGAATTGTAAAATATAAGAGTGTAGGAGACCATGCAAACTCACAAACCGGTGCCACAAGTGCTAAAGCACATGGTGCCTGTTCTCTGTTGCATTACTCATTACAGAGTTCAAAAAAGAATTGTGCATCGGGAGCTTCGTGAAATGGGTTTTCATGGCAGAGCAGCTGTACACGAGTCTGAGATCACTATGCATAATGCCAAGCTTCACTACCTGCCATTCGGATGGATGAATCTGGGTTTGACGGGTACAGGACAACGCTATCTAACGGAATTTATAGTGCCAACAGTAAAATGTGGTGGAGGACGTATAATTGTCTGGGGCTGGCCCCTTAGTTCATATGAAGGGTAATGTTAATGCTACAATATAAAAGATATTTTTGACAGTTATATGCTTCCAATTTTGCAGCAACTATTTGGGGAAGGCCCTTTCCTGTTTTAGCATGTGCCCCTGCGCACAAAGTGAGGTCCATAAAGATATCGTTTGAACTCCAGTGTCCTGAACATAGCCATGACCTCAACCCCACTGTTGGGTAATTTACCACAGCATAACTAAGATTAAGGTTTGGAACTGTATGAAACACATCCATTCATAATATCTGTGATGCAATATATAAACCCATTTCCAAAAAAAGTGGCAAGTTGTGTAAAATGTAAATAAAAACAGAATGCAATGATATGCAAATCATTTAAACTTTATATTTAATTGAAAATAGTAGAATAGCAAAATATATAAGGCTGAGAAATTATGTGTTTTGAGAAATATATGCTCATTATGAATTTGATGCTAGCAACGCGTTCCAAAAAAGTTGGGACGAGGGCATGTTTACCATTGTGTTGCATCATCTCTTCTTTTAACAACACTCTGTAAGTGTTCAGAAACCAAGGAGACCAACTGCTGTAGTGTTGAAAGTTAAATGTTTCCCATTCTCGCTTGAAATAGGATTTCAGCTGCTCAACTGTTTGGGGTCTCCTTTGTCATATTCTTCCTTTCATAACCCTCCAAATGTTTTCAGTGAGTGACAGGTCTGGACTGCAGGCAGGCCAGTTTAGCACCCAGACACTTTTACTACCAGCCATGTTGTTGTAATACATGCAGAATGTGTTTAGGCATTGTCTTTCTGAAATAAATAAAGTCTATCCCTGAAAAAGATGTCTTCTGGATGGGAACATATGCTACTTCAAAACCTGAATATATCGTTCAGCGTTAATGGTGCCCTCACAGATGTGCAAGTCGCCCATGCCATGTATACTAATGCACCCCAATACCATCACGGATGCTGACTTTTAGACTGTGCGCTGATAACAAGCTGGACGGCGTCCACGATTTCCAAAGAGAATATCAAATTTTGTCAGACCACAGGAGACTTTTTTACTTTACCTCAGTCTTAATGATGATGTTTATATATGGTTTCTTCTTTGCATGGCAGAGTTTTAACTTGCATTTGTGGATGCAGAGACGACAGTGGTTTTCAGAAGTGTTCCTCAGCCCATGCAGTGATTTCCACTACAGAATCGTGTCTGTTTTTAATGCAGTGTCGCCTGAGGGCCGGAAGATCTCAGCCAGCCAGGCTTGTCTCTTGCATACAGAGATTTCTCCAGATTCTCTGAATCTTTTCATGGTATTATGCACCAAAGATGATAAAAACTCCAAGTTCTTTGCTATTTTATGTTGAGAAACATTATTCTTCATTTGTTGCACTATTTGCCGGTGCAGTCTTTCACAGAGTGGTGAACCCCTCCTCATTTTTACTTCTGAAAGATTCAGCCTCTCTGAGCTGCTCTTTTTATACCCAAGCATATTACTGACCTGTTGCTAGTTAACCTAATTAGTTACAAGATGTTCCACCAGGTGTTTTTTTTAGCATTACACAACTTTACCAGTTATTTGTTGCCCCCGTCTCAAGTTTTTTGAAATGTGTTGCTGGCATCAAATTGAAAATGGGCATATATTTTTCAAAAAACAAGAAAATTTCTCAGTTTCAACACTTGATATGTTGTCTTTGTACTATTTTCAAACAATTATAGGGTTTAACGATTTGCACATCATTGCATTCTGGTTTTATATACATTTTGCCTGCGATGGACTGGCGACCTGTCCAGGGTGTATCCTGCCTTCCACCCAATGACAGCTGGGATAGGCTCCAGCGCCACACCGTGACCCAGAAGGATAAGCGGTTTAGATGATGTGTGTGTGTGTGTGTGTGTATACATTTTGCACAGCATCCCAACTTTTTTGGAAATGGGTTGTACAGCAAAAACTGAAAAGATCACACACTGAATTTGAAAAGTAAAGTAGATGAAAAAATTTAATAAGAAAAATGTTAGAGGAAAACAAAAAAGGAAACAAATAAAAGAATGGATAAAAATGGATAAAAATAATCTCAACAGGTTATCACATTCACACAAACACACATAACCTCACATGTGAAGGCTTAACTAAGACAAAAAACCTTAAAGAACATCAGCAGGTTAAAACGCTAAGAGTTGTGGTGGGGCTGAGAGCACCCACCAGTGACATCCCCATCTGACACAGACTTGGTCAACGCACTTATAGCTTTATGTAAACTGAAAATCTACAATCTATATACACAATTTCTGATTCACTGTTACAAATCAAAACCACTATAATGCAGACTTAGACAGGCTCAGAAACAAAACTGATTATGATCAGTTAATTTAAATAAGTCCTACAGACTGAAGAGTCTTGTGCCCAAGAAGCTTCCCAGCATTCTTAGCGATTTTGTTGGTTTCTATTAATCAGTTGACAAATTTTCTCATTTATAAATATAAATCTCTTTGCAAAATGTTATTTTTGTGTCATACTCTCAGGTTAAATGTAAGGTTTGAATGCATTTCTATGTGACTTCTGATCTGCTTCATGACCCTGAGTGCTTCCAGTCCTTCTGCCAAAATAGATGATATTTGGGCATAACATGTCCTTATCTCATGTCAGAGTGTCCTTCTCAAGGAACATGACACAAAGTCCTAGAAACAAGAGCCAAATAAGATAATACAAGCAAATAAAGATATAAACGTATTTTCTGAATGTTGCAGATGCAGGGCGTGATGTTGAACCATGATGAGCCTCACAGAAACACCAAGGCCAAATAACTATTATTCCTAGTTGTTAGGAATATATTCTTAAGCAAAATGTCCTATATTAAAAAGATTCGAATTTGATTACAGTAGATAATCTACATCATCTCTTCACAAATAAACACGGGATGAAATGAAATTGGTTGAGAGCCAGGCCTTCTTGTCCAACATAAATGCCTGACCACACAAATGCTCTTTTGACTAAACGGGCGCAAATTCTTACAGACACACTCCAAAATCATGTGGAAAGCCTTCCCTCCCGCTGAGGCAGAGCTAACTCCATATTAATGCCTACGGTTTTGGAATGAATTGTCCAACAAGCTCATATGGGAGTGATGTACAGTCATCTACACAATATATAAATCGGAACTTTTAAACCGATTCTTTTAAATTAATCACTCGAACCGATTCACAAGTACAACGTAAAAGTGAATCATGCTGAGTGTATCATCTGAGCAATATACAAGTCTGTCATAGGCTGGAGGATTTAAATAATAATGTTTCACAATCTAACTTAATAAAATCACAAGTCAAAATACCAGAATGTTACATATTGAGAACACGTTTTTTAATTCGCTTATATTTAAAATGTCTTGATTTGTGCATCAAGGAATCCTTGAATCGGACGGTCGATTAATTGAAACGGACCGCTCAGATGAACCGGTTCAGGAAATTTTACCCGTTTTTTCCCACGTGATTTGGGCGCGCACGTCGTGACGCCATCACTGTTAGTCCGTCCAAACCGGAACATTAGACGTATTCCTGTGCCGCTGTGTTGTCAGGTTTGCTGAGATTGAGCGACCGTAGTGCTGTTCGAGCTGTGGATGGAGAGGTTCTGCTCAGAGGAGAGTTCGTTTATGATAAACAGAGCAAGCCTCACTGTCAGAGTCAGCATGTCCTGACCGCCGCCGCTGGAGACTCACTGACTGACTGACTGACTGCAGTTTCTCTTCTCTGCTGATTGGAAACGTCCCCACCGCCGTACACGGAGACATTCGACACACAAACGGTAATTCAGTTTCTCTTGTTCACGCTGGGCAGGAGAGCTTCAGCTGATATTGCTGACATTAGTGACATTAGAGCGGTTTAGCTGGCAGGTACCCCAGTTAGCTCACTACTTAGCATTAGCAAGTAAACAGTGTTACATGTGTTATATTTCAGTCCAGCACAGCGTGTTCTGACTGACACACCAACCGAGCAGCGCGGCACAGAGAAAGACTGGGGAAAGAAAGAAACTGGGAAAATAACTTTTGGTTGAAAGCGAACATAAAACCCATTCTGTATTACCATTTTTTGAGTTTAGCCAATATATGTTCAACACCTCTGGAAAACGCCATACACATGTCAGCAGCGACGTCCTAGAAACTAGAGACAAATTTCCGAATTTTGCAGTTTCTTAGATCCGGGTCGTGGTGGTGAACTCTGATAAAGAGCTACCCAGCGTAGGTGATGAGGTGATAGGAAAATGTGGCCAGTGCTGTGTTTACTTTGTGTATGTGTTTGTGAAGCTGCTGTCTCTTCTTGACTGTAGGCACCTCTTTCAGATATTTAGCCTAGATATCCACAGTGCTTGACGTCTCATATGAGAACTTCACATATGGCTGTACACCCACAACCGCACACCTGCGGTATTATAAGCGAGAGTAAAGAACCCTCGTTGCTTTGGATTGGATCTGTGCGGGTTTGATTGCAGCGAGGAGGGAAAGTGCAGGTCTGCGCCACCTGCTGGTTACATTTTGAATCACCATTCATTTCGAATTTTTTTGATAAGGGGCAAAAATCACAAAAAGGCTTGAACTTTGGTAAAACAGTCATTTTGCGACCATCCAGGCACAGTAGCTGTGAATACAGCATAGTAGCCGAATATTTTGCTAGTCCATATTGCTGAAGATTAAAATACTGAACTACAAAGTCCAGGTCTGGGTGATGACACAGCTTCATGTGATGTGTGATAGTAGTCTGTTTAGGAAGAACTGTATTTCTGTCCTTTACTGTCAGCTCAGTTTACTGTCATTCGGAACATTGTCATAGTGTAAAATGCAAATCAATATGAGGGAGACACGACACGTTATGTTGGACAACCTCTAATGTGCATCACCTCCAGTTCCAAAAAATATAGGTTATAACCTGTATACACCGTCCCTAAGAAAGTTAATAGGCCTTGTTGTGACAAACACTTGGATAGTCAAATTCCAAATTTTTCCAATTGTAAAGCATTGTCTACTTGTAACTAGAGATATTTGCTGAATTTTAGGCGTTCAGCTCAGAGACTATTCTAAAATCCCTGATATAATTTGACCTTAAATAATTACATTGTAATTGCTTACTTTCTTGCAATTAGTTGTTATCTCTCAATGCTGGCAAGTTGTTTGTATTGTCTGGTTAAAAACTCAAGTGTCCATATTTCTGTGAGAAGGACAAACTCAAAACGACAAGCGATGAGAAAGTATGGGGCAGAGTCACCCGGAATTCCTAGTGAGTTGGTTGATTTCTGTTTATTGGCTCTTTTTTTTTTCTTTAGATGTTGTTTTCAAACAAACATCACGTTACATATTTTATACAGGCTAAATATAAGTTTGGATGCACTTCACATGTTTTGGGTATCCCAGCCATGAATGTGTTTAGTGTCTGCTTAGTAGTCCGTTTAGTTGTAACAAAACATCTTAAATGGCTGCCAAGTCAGTAGTTTTTCTCAAAGTTGGCATAAGAGTACAAACTTTGCAAACTCTTTTTGAAAGAGTTTTTTGTACATCTCAGTTTGTGATCATTGTAATTACGTCAATGATATGAAAGTGAAACAATTAAACAGTGTAGTCACTCAACTTAATAGCTCACGTTTCTGTAACATTATAGTTTGTGTTTCTGTCCTTTACTGTCAATTAAATTTGTCATTCGAAACACTGTCATACTCAAAGCATACTCATGTATACATATATTTTAGCCCTATTTGAGCTGGATTGGTGTTACTTGGGAAGGTGCTGTAATTTATGTGATTACAGATGAGATCTGTGACTTTAATCCAGTATGAATTCACAATGTCCATAGTTTTTACTTAATGATAAATCCGGAGTGAATTCTGTAATTCGTCGAACTCTCGAGCTCCTCAGTGTTAGTAGTGAACGTCTCAGTAATATAATCACAAAACCGGTTAATAGAATTAATTAATAGAAAATAGACAAGGTGGAAGCAGGCCTCTTTATCGCCCCCCTTTTTTTGTTTGGGTTTTCCCATTTCACTATAAGTGGTGCTGCAGCTACATTCTTGCGCCTCAATTTTCAAAAAACATTTGAAAAAGTTAGAGAATAAGAAGCTGACAGCTTTGTAGAAAACGGCGCCTGCCTTTATTTGCTTTTTCTGTGACCTGAAGACAAGACGATCAACTAAAATGGAGCTTGATTTGACACTTAATCCTCAGGTTTATGACAAAACTACTGAAATCCACTACGTTTGTGGTGATGGCTGAATTACAAAGAGAGGGAAAATGAACTCAAAAGCATTTGCTGTCTTGTCAGATGGCATTTGGTAAGTTAAATTAACCCACTTTACTAGCCTAGTGCTAGTATACATGCCACCTCATGCCGCACATGTTGTTATTGTTTGGCAGTGTGACGCTTGTTGCATAAAGCTAATGTAAACATCTGTGTGCAGATTTTTCGATCCACGCTATTTAGGATAATTTGGGAAAATTACAGAGGTTCTTTATCCTGTTGAATCGGCCAGTCAAATCGCACACAAATTACGTTACCAGACCTCCTCTGATAAAACTAATCCGGCTTGAACAGGGCTTTTGTTTGTTAAACTGTTTGATACTCCATATATAATTTCATACCAAAAATTTTAAAAACTGTTTAGAAAAACTGAGTTTCAAAACATAATTCATTTGAGGCAGTGTGTTACCTCTAAAAGTTTGAGTAAATTAAATTTCCAGTTTTTTCAGTGATGTCGAAACTCATACCTGTTGGAGCAACATAACCAAGACTGTTTATGAAGTTCACATAAAGCAGATTGTGTTTGTATGGTAAAATGCATGTTTGTATCAGTTTTACCTTAGAAAACATCAAGACCGTAAAGGTATACAGTGGGGTCCAAAATTCTGAGACCACTAGTGAAAATGCTTTTACATTCCTGAGAGTCGTCTGACTCACTTAAGTTAAGACTTAACCTGACCTTTTTGTATAAACGTCTCAACATGGTCAGTATCACCTAGACCTAGAAATAGTGCAGTATCTTGAATATTTGTTCTTCATTTTATGTGTCATAACTTTGTTTTGTTGCAAATGGAAATGAGTCCCAAGATTTTCAGTTTTGGTCCCACTGTAGGTCTGGTTGTGACCAGGAAAACTCACGTGTGTATATAACTCTTGTATGTATAACCTGTGTGTTCTCTCACACAGAACAGAAGCCACATCAAAGTGCCCGCTTTCTGTTCCCGTTCTTCCACCCAGCTAACATGAGGCTGGCAGGTTTGTACACTTCAAACTGACTCCATAAAGGCTTGAGTATACAGGATTAGAAGTCACTTGTCATTTTTTCTGTGTGCCCTTTGTGTACAATACAGATGGATTTTTTAGTTGCATGCAGTTTGTTGGTTGTATATGCACATACTGATTACTTATAAGAGAATAAACCCACAGTTCACTTACTTCCTTTTAAAAATGGGTCTGAACACAAAAAAGTGCAATACTTCTAAAATGGAAAAATATGTATACACTGTTGTTCAAAGGTTAGAATTGCTGTTCAAAAGTTTGGACTCAAACCACACAGTTATGTAATGATTCGTATATGTTATTAATGTGCAGTTTTACAGGTTTAGAGAGTAGGAGTCTAAGAAGCAGTAAATAAACATTTGAAATGTCTTCAGAATGATAAACAGTGCTGGAATGACTGAGAAAGCTGCGTAGCACTGAAAATCAAAGTATAATAGTATCCGGTAGTAATAAGTATCCAGAATTCATTATATTTCAAAAGTGGAGATGAACTCTCAAGACACAGAACCTGACAAAAAAAATAATGTAAATAGATGATTAGGAGAGAGTGGGGCACAAATCAGCATGGGGTAAAATACAACATGTATATTTTATGCAGTTAAACACGTTCAAATAAAACATGCTTTTTGCTTTATTCATGTGTTCTCATAGCAACATCATCTGTAAATTTTCACAGCAATCAGATAGACATAATTCACCTTGAAGATCATAAAAGTACCATACATGTAACTTTTTTCATCATAAATTGTGCAAAAAAGTCACATTATTCACTTCTATATCATTTCATTCACCCTCCTAATGGCATTTTGAAGAATAGATGTAACATACAGTCAGAGCTAGCTAAGTTAAAGTACAGCTGCCACATGGTAGGGTTAGTTGTAAAGCAGTGTTACAGCTGAGCCTCCCAAAACAATGAGGTAACCCCAGACTTCTCCATATAAATTCAGAACAGTTAAGTTTTTGTGCACAGATTCATCAAAAATGTAGTGAAGATGTTATGTAAATAAAGTATATTTCAATTTTAAGTGCTGATAATTTCTGTTTTGCTTTGTGGTCAGAAATATATTTGCCATAACATTCAACTTTTTCTAAGTGTATTTTTGATGTATTTGCTAGAAAGCTTGTCTGTTTTCAAAAAATATAGCTCTGCATTGAATGAAATGTTTGTATCGATTTATCAAGTACTTTAGCAACTGTTACAATTAGCCGCATCTATTACAAACCCCACCTGTGGGGTATATCTGCAGTATTTGGTTTCACTATGCTTTGGGCTGAATTGTTCACTAGAAACAAACTTTGAAACTGTTTTTATTCGTAGCAAAGATGTACACATTTTATATTTTATATTAAACTCAGCAAATAAATGTAAGTTGTGTACTAAAATTAGCAGAAAAAAATTTGCATTTAAGTTTGTTTACTGTAGAGGATTTGTTTTCATTGTGGTATCAGCAAAAAATTAATTTGACTCGGGTGTTCAGACTTTTGCATATGGCTGTACCTTTTCCTCTTAATCCAAATACCCTGAGTAAACATCAGACATGACAGTTTTGGCTGAATCCCAGTACTTAGGAAGGATGCTGTAGATCCATGAGGTCATACTCTATGATTCTTGCATGTAATCAACAATGCATGGTGTTTTTGTAATCCCTGTAATCCACTGTTCTGGTGAGCAGGGTGCTGTCATGTGAGAATTGAGTGCTGCAAGAGAATGCAGCATCACTATCTAAAGTGTTTTTGATATACAGGGGAAAAAAATCATGACCGACAACATTACCAGTACTACTAGTGTTGCACAAATTATATTTTTTTGCATGGTCACTGTGTTGTCACTGTCATATAATTCTAGATAAGGAGAGTGGATGCAGTATTTAGCCTCTCTGCAATAGAAGCACTGTTCCTACAGCTGACTTCATGCCTCCTACTCTCCTCTGTGTGTGTGTGTGTGTGTGTGTGTGTGTGTGTGTGTGTGTGCATGTGTGTGTGTGAATTGTGGTCTCTCAGTGGTTTTGTGTGTTCTTCATTGCATCCACTATATCTTGTAGGACCGCTGCGTGCTGTCGTTGTAGTGCTTCTTGTGGGCTTGACTTGGCTTCTGGCGAGCTCCATACTGGGAGGAGATGGCAACTCTGTAGTGAAGATGTTCTTTACTGGTGAGCAGTTTGCTTTTTCAGGTCAAAGGAAATTTTCATGTCTTGTCAGTTTTGGCTCACATGTCACAGGTCTTGCCATAATGTAATATTAAGAAATATCATACATGCTCAACCACTGCAAAAAAATGTCTTTGTTACTATAGACTAGGGGTGCCCAAAAAAAAAAAAATCAGATTTTTAGAAATGTATTTTATAATGTTATACTATTTTTTTGGTACCTAAATGAAAATAATTTAGTAGATTATCTAGAGTATAAAAATATATTTCCTCTCTCCTGAAGTTTGATCACCCTAGTCAAAGGACACATTTAGTTTTTTGTATTGAAAATTAAGTTATTTTAGTGTACAGCTAATATTTTTTGCTGGGTTTAACGTATTTAGTGGGGGATAAAACACAAAATATTAAATATGCTGTAACATTTGCACAGACCACATTTTATGCTTTATTTTTTCCAATATTAAATTCAGCAAATGAACAGTAATTGTGCATTACAATTTTCTAAAAACTTAAAAATCATCAATTTTCAAAATAATCAATATAGTATGCTTTTTTTTTTATCAAAATTTCTCTGGATATTTTCCTACATAAAATTAAACAAAACTTGGTATATTGACTGTTCCGATTACGTGTAAAAAGTTTTTCGAATCTGATAGGAAAGAATAAGATTGAATGGTGGTGAAATTTAGGATTTCGTGATGCATTTTATTGTATCCAGGGAGGTCAGAGACTGAGTGGCAGGGAACTCTCAAGGCCTGAAAATTTCTGTGAAATAAAAAAAAATGTACGAAAAAATATCTCTATTTGTGTTTATCATATCGTCAATCATGTAATAAATTTTGTGTGGAAATAAAAAGGTTACAGTTGGGCAGTATCAATTTGTTTCATACCTTTAAACGATCTACCATATATTATATTAGTATACAGTATTACCAGAGAAGGTACAGTGAGGAGAATTGCCTCTCTGTAATGTCTTCGGATTTGTCAGATGTTAGAGGGCGCTCCTGAGCAAGTCCAAAATGAATGGGTTAATTTGGAGCATTTGAGCAAAATCATAGTTTGTACATGCTGAAACATTATTATATAGAAGCATACAATAATTTCCTGAACACTGCATAAACAGCATAAAACATTTTAACACCGCTGTTGTATTTTTGAGCGCTTTTAAACTCCAGTTATAGGAGTCAGAACGGTGCCTCATGGACATTCATGACTTCAGTAAGTGCAAACTCCTTCGTCTGCCAATGAGCAGATCTGCTTGCCAACCAATCAGCACTCAATAGCACTAATAGCAACCAATCAGCACTCAGTAGCAGTAATGCTAACCAGTTAGCACTCAGTAGCTGTAATGTAGCATCCTACTGCCTAAAACCCGTTAAAGAAATATGCAGGCAAGTTTGCTTATTTAGTGAATGACGTCATTTTACTTTCCAGAATTAAAGGAAGGTCCTGGACGTGTGGTCATAAACTATTTTAACGTTTCATTTTTAGCCATATCTCCATTCACCTCCATTCATTTAGGACTCGTTTGTGGGCACCCTCTGGTGTTTAGCAGTCATGTTTTTGATATGACCAAAAAAATAGGAAGTTGCCAGGCTCCACTTAAACCAGCTCTGGTATTACTGTGTGTATGATAAGCAGTGCTGCTCACTTTGAGAGCGGAGATGGTTAGAGTTAACTTAGCTAGCAAGATAATAGTTCTGCTCACCACAGAACAGGTTTGATTCTGGCTAACTAAAGTACTGACACAAATTCATATGTTAATTATTTATGAAGACAAGCAGCTGGTGCTGAAGGGACAGAAAGGCGAAATTAAACCTGCTCCTTGATGTTTGGACCTGTAGCCTGATCAGTTAACTTAATTTTATCTTAGCGAGCAGATTACAGACCTAAACATGCCACACACCACAGTACAGGCTCGATTCTGACTAACTGATGCTGTGCTGAAGCAGGTTTAGATTTTTAAAACTACTGTATGAGAGTGACTCGTCAAATTGAACCTATCCTGTGGTGTTTGGGACCGAAAGCGTTTTGCCTAAGCTAAGGAGCTCTTAACCGTTGCTGAGTGACTGTTATGCTTAGTTTTTTTCTGTCTGATTTTTCCCTGGTACTATCAGCGCCACCTAGCTATCACTGAGTTCCCACACCACTAATCAGTGACACCTCTGAAATACACTATATGGATAAAAGTATTGGGACACCTATACATTACACTTACAGGAGCTTTTATGACATCCCATTCTAAATTCATAGGCATTAATATGGAGTTGGTCCCCCCCTTTGCAGCTATAACAGCTTCCACTCTTCCACCCTTCTGGGAAGCTTTCTTTTGATTTTGGAGGGTGTTTGTGGGGAATTTTTGCTCATTCATCCAGAAGAGCATTTGTGAGGTCAGACACTGATGTTGGACGAAAGGGCCTGGCTCGCAATCTCTGTTGTGGTTTATCCTAAAGGTGTTCGATGGGGTTGAGGTGAAGGCTCTGTGTGGGCCAGTCAAGTTCCTCTACACCAGACTCACCCAGCCATGCTTTTATAAACCTTGCTTTCTGCACTGGGGTACAGTCCTGCTGGAACAGAAAAGGGCCTTCCCCAAACTGTTCCCACAAAGTTGGAAGCATACAATTGCCCAAAATGTCTTGATCTGCTGAAGCATTAATATTTCCCTTCACTGGAGCTAAGGGGCCTAAACCAACCCCTGAAAAACAACCCCATATCATCATCCCTCCTCCACCAAACTTTACAGTTGGCACAATGCAGTCAGGCAGGTTGTGTTCTACTGGTGTTTGCCAATCCAGACTCATCCATTAGACTGCCAGATAGAGAAGCGTGATGCGTCACTCCACAGAACTCATTTCCACTGCTCCAGAGTCCAGTGACGGCGTGCTTTACACCACTCCCCCTCCCACAACGCTTGGCATCGTGTATATTGATCTTAGGCTTGTCTGTTTCTGCTCGGCCATGGAAATCCATTTCGTGCAGCTCCTAACGCGCAGTTCTTTTGCTGATGCTGCTTCCAAAGGCAATTTGGAACTCTTTAGTGAGTGATTCAACAGAGGATAGGCTCTGTGCCTGTGAAATCAATAATTAAGAGGGGTGTCCCAATACTTTTGTCCATATAGTGTATAAACGAGTGGAATGTGTTTATCCATTCAGATGTAGAACAGTAGTTTGACATGCTCTAGTTTTGAAATACCAGCATCATTTTTAAATACCATGATATCCTTGTTACTGTTATAATGCCCATCCCTACTCTAGGCCTTCTGGAAATCCAAGATATGTCACTAGGATTGAAAAAAACAAGGATACATCACTGCCTGAGAATACATGTAATAGTCTAATCAGGTTTCAGTCAGTTGTTAGAAGTGGAAAACAGCAGCAGCTCTGTGTGAGGGCTCTTTCACTGAAAGAGTAACTGTAAAACAGAAAAGGTAAGATAGATATTAATATGCCTGTTACAAACTTTAAATATATTTTACAAGCTTTAAATGTCCATGTTTAATAATAGGAATCACTGTTTGCTTAGCTCTAATGTACTACTTGAATCTCTAGCAGAAATTAGTATTATCATAAATGTCCCCAAACTCCCCCTCCCCTTTTTTCCCCCCAAATTATGACAGTAGTCATAGTTTGCTGCTGATATTATGTATTACTCATTTTTACACAATTGCTGTGGACAGTTGCGCTAATTGGTTCTTGAAGTAGGAGAGAAGGATGGAGCTTGTTCTTTCACTGATCTTTTGTTACATTATGTGATTCGCAGGTACACCGGAGGAGCCAACTCAAGGTAGGGTGAAGAACTGCACTTGAATTGTTGCATCAGCAAATTACTGTTTGGTGTCAAGATTGAACAGCATGCTTTGCCTTTGCTTTCTCTTAGAACCAAGACCTCGCAGGTACAAGTGTGGGCTTTCTGCCCCATGTCCTCCAAAACACCTCGCGTTCCGTTTAGTCTCTGGAGCTGCCAATGTCATTGGCCCCAAAATCTGTCTGGAGGACAAAATGTAAGCCAGTGAACATCTGTCTGTCCTGTCTGTCTGTCTTTCTATGCGACGTTTCAGCTTTCCATTTCTTAGAATTCCATCTTTCCATTCTCAATTCTTCTTTCTTTCTCATTTCCATCATTACCAGCTTCTCATTGGGAGCATGATGCAAGTATGCATTATTTTCTGTTTCTGCCACGTCTGTGTGCTGTTTCTCCATCGCATGTTGTGTTTGTGCTGCTGTAACCAACATCCTGAAAACTGCTTTAGGGAGTAAAACTTATTTATTCAGCTATGCGTGTTGTTTTTTTCCCCAGGCTCATCAGCAGCGTCAAGAACAATGTTGGGAGAGGACTTAACATTGCTTTAGTAAATGGTAACAAGCCTAACAGTCTGTTTTTGTGCAAGAATGTGATGCATGATACAGATATGATTTTAAGGAGCTAAAATTTCAGATACCAATAAATTATGTCAGCCAGTATATTTAGAATTTTAATCAACAGTCAGCTTTATTAAGCTCTAATAAACAGCAGCATATATAGAAATAATGTGTGTTATAACATGATATTCTCTGCTTAAGGTTATGTTTTGAAAGGTTTTATATTTTTTTCATATTTTGGTTACTTTAGCCATGAGTTTTGAGTTCAACTAGGGCTAACTCTTATGAGTGTCTAAGGTTTCACCTTGTGATAGGTACATTATAAGTACTTGGTGTTCAATTATTAGTGCATTATTGGTAGTGCCCCATATTAAAACTTCTGTACTTTTATGGTGCTGACGGAATTTCTTCAGTTACAGTCGAGCAACAAAAAATCCATGTCATTCAATACCAAAGTTCAATATTGATTTACTCAGTATTATCAACATCTGTGTGCCAGTAAGCATGCTTGTTCCAAAATCTAGACTTCTGATTGGCTGTCCAAATCACATGCTGAATGTATTTTCTTAATGTCAGTAAATAACACTGACACCTCCTGCACCTCACACTCATTTCTGGTTTAAGCCACACCCATGTTCAATTTGTAATTCAAAAGAAGATATTGAAATAATATTGTTCAGGTATCAAGGTTAAAGTAACAGTGTTGTCAAAATCAAAACATTTTGAAAGATACCCAGCTCTAGGTATTGGTGATGTTTTTCACCAGGTCACCAATATTGCTTGATATTATTTATATAAAGTTGGGACAGTGTGTGAAATGCCAAGAAAAACAGAAAGCAATGATTAATAAATTCTGTTTGACCTCTTTTAAATTGAAAACAGTACAAAATGCAATATTTTATGTTTTGTCATTTGAACGTCAGTGTTTTTGTAAATATATTTATATATAGCTCATTACAGATTTGTTGCCTGCAACACTTTACAGAAAGTTGTGACATTAGCCTATTTACCACTGTGTTAAATCACCTTCTAACAGCACTTAATAATCATTTGGGGACTAAAGACAAACTGATCCAGTTTTGAAAGTGGAATTTTTGCCATGCTTCTATTATACAAATCTTTGCATTTTCCAGCTTCGTATTTTAAGCTCAATAATGCAGCACATGTTTTTTATGGGAAACCAGTTCTGGAGTGCAGGCAGGCCAGTCTAGCACCCACTCTCTGATTATATAGTCATGCTGTTGCACCCCGAGCAGAATGTGGCTTGGCGTTGTCACATTGAAATAAGTATGGGTGTCCCTGAAAAAACATTGTCTAGAAGACAGCATGTGTTGCGCCAAAATGTGTTCAGTGTTAATAGTGCCTTCACAGATGTGCAGGTTACCCACTAATACCGCCAAATACCATGACAGATCCTGGCATTTGAGTTTTACACTGGTAACAGTCTTCATGGTCTTTTTCTTCTTCGGCCCAGAGAACACAACGTCCGTCATTTCCATAGATGATCTGAATGTCTGATTGGTCAGACTACAGAACACATTTTCACTGTGCATCAGTCAACTTCAGATGAGCTCAAGCCCAAAGAAGTCAGCAGCGTAGACTTAGCAGTATGATACGATTTGTAAAGGGCCAATTGATTTTGCAATACTATTCCTCTCACTTACATATTTCTTTGCTCGAAAAACAAAACAGAAAATTGTCATTTTACATTTTAATTGTATGTACTGCTAAACCCCTAATTGTTTTATTACATGACATGTTGGCCCAATTTCTTTTGATGTAAAGTTAATAACTTTTTAATGTTTTTCAGGGGTCTCTGGTGAGCTTTTGGAAACGAAGTCATTTGACATGTGGGAAGGAGGTTTGTTTCTTTTAGTAATACTGTTTTTAAAACAGTTCCAGTTGTACAATCTGATTTGGTTATACAATGTTCTGTCTTTTTTTGTTGTATAACAGCACTGACCACTGGTTGCTAATTAACAACAGTGGTTACTTTACTGTCAGTTGTGGTATGTAGTAGAAGTACTTTTTTGGCAGGATAAAATGCCAATATTTAAAAAAACATTGGAAACAAATGGTGATATCTTCTGGTATGTTATGTATTTTTCCCACGTGAATGTCGTATTGTACAGATGTTACCACCTGGTTTAAACATATTCATTCTACTCCACAGATGTGTCTGATCTGCTGAAGTTTCTCAGACCTCTCCATGAGGGAACCCTAGTGTTTGTGGCTTCTTTTGATGATCCAGCCACCAAGTACGGTTCCATGTATCTCCTGCACATGTCTTACTTTAAATCAGATTGACTCCTAAATCTATACTAGTAAATGTTAGGAAATTGAGAGATTATAGTTTTCTGAATGAATCTCTCTGTGGTTTTGTTGGTAATGTTCTTGATTTGATGGCTGATTTGCAGGTTGAATGATGAAGCAAGGCGGCTTTTTGAGGAGCTGGGCAGCACAGCAGTAAAAGAACTGGCCTTTAGGGACAGCTGGGTGTTTGTAGGAGCCAAAGGCATAGACAACAAAAGCCCATTTGAGCAGGTAGGATTGTCAAAATGTTTACAAAATTTTGAAAATGTTTAGGCACTTTGGTGTCCTATTAAATAATTCATGATATGTGCTGTTATTGTATGTAGACAACATTTAGGATATTTACAACGATGTGTATCCAAATCCAGAGGTTAAAAGAGTCGCCTAAAACCATCCTCCACTTATTTGACGAATACTCAGAGGAGGACAAATCCATTAAAACATTTCCTGAAGTAGATGTACAGTACTGTACAAAAGTCAGAAACCTTTATTTATTTAATTTCCTGTCATATATGACTGGAAATATATGACATTTCTGCTTTTTATTCTGACACTAAAAATGAATAACTTAGTGGTTGCCTTGGCTGGAAATTAACTGGAAATTAACTTTCATTAACATGAAAGGAGCTCTCTGACTTTTGCACAGTACTGTATATTTTATGTTTTTTATCCAGAGGCTGAAAAATGAATAACTTAAACTTAACAGACACTTTGGCTGTGAATTAAGTAACAGCACTGTAGCTAAGTAAATGGAACTTGTTAATTCACCTAAATCCCCTCCCTTTTACTGTTTTTCTTTTTCTCCCAGCGAATGAAGAACAGCAAAACTAGCAATAAATATGAAGGCTGGCCTGAGTCTTTGGAGATGGATGGCTGCGTTCCTCTACGTGCCCCACTAGAAAGCTAAATTCCCAGGGACAATGAAACAAACTATGAAATGCCACAACATTCACTAACATGAGGTTTAATTAGTGACCAAAGTGATTCCGTTACAGTCATGGTGAACTCTTGGATCATGCAACTACCTAAATGGTCTCTGACTGAAAGTCTCTTGAAGGATTTCGCTTGGTTCGGTACAAATGGACCTTTTGAAATCTAAACACAACTTCTTTTATCTCTACTTTTGAATAATGAAGAGGAGTAAGCATATTGCTTCTGCATACGAGCAAGTGGAAAAGGGAACAAACAGTGGAACTAGTCTAGATAAATGTGAGAATCAGCTTTATATCAAGTGTTGTAAACGTACAAGAAGGATTTCATGAAGGTCGAAGATAATATATATGACACAACACTAATATATACATCAGTCAGGGGTGAAATGCAGATTTTAGTCCTTTTTTAAAGTGTTCTTTTTTTATTATTTAATGTATAATGGATCTGTGCCTCTCTGTTAACCAATGACTTTCAAGTATATTTGTAAATTATCTAGTGTACTGATATTTCACATAACTGGTGTTAGGGAGAGCTACTGCTATGCAATAATGTGTGGTTTGCTTGTTTTCTGAAGAGAGCTTAGTGTGATGCTAATGTTTGAAGAATGTACTTTTGGACTCTACGTTTAATAATGCGTGGCACATATTTAGAGAGAATGGTCATGCAAAACTCATTGACGTGAGTGTTTGGAACACTGAGATTACGATTAGCTTTTTGGATATTATGTTTCTCATTTTATAGTCAACCCAAGAAAGTGAGCGTATGATGTACTCAAAGGGGAACTCCACTGATTTTTCAAAATGTCTGCAGAATTAAATGAATAAGATGTTAACGAAGTTATTCAGAGCAGTTTGCTGTGAAATGCTTAGTTCTAGAGAAACTTAGAGTCAGAATTATTCACATGCAATGGTGGTGATAGGAACCACACGTCTGCATCTAGAAAGTCCCTCACATAAAGTTATTACATGAAATGGTTACCTGATTCCTGATATGAGACATTGATTTACGGTAGTTTTGTGATAAAATTTTGGCCTAAAACATGAACAATTTATTTTAATGTATTCACGGTAGAGGCATACATGAAGGGTGTTCTAAGGCAAAAGAGTCCCCAAAGAAAACTTGCTTTTTTCCAGATTTATGACTATTTTAGCCTCAACATTACATAAAAAACTCAGAAAACTCATGTAGGGTGTTTTTGGATAGCAAATAAAATTGCTTTATTTGAGTTGTAGACATTGTGACCCCTCGTTCTTATCACAAGCACTGTAAAGAAATCTGAGCTAGTTTCTGTATAAATGAACCATTTCACATCAAATCACTGTGAATGACTTTGTTTATATCTTGACAACTGAATTATGCAGAAATTTGAAAAATGGATGGAATTCCCCTTTAAAGTGGAACTGTTGCAATAAAATGTGAAAGCGCCATTTCATGGACTCAAAGCCTCTTATTTAATGCAAAAAGAATCGTGACTTGCACTTTGGAGTCCAGTAACTGTTCCAAGCACCATGGACAGCGGCATTGTCAAATTATACACACTAGAGGGCGATATGGAATCAATAATGTAGAATAGCATCTAAAAATGACAAGGTGTGTATGTGTATTAAAGCCTGTCACAACTGAACTCTGTCTGAACTCATTATAGGTGCTGAATCATTGCTGTATTGGTTGCTGCATTGCCTGAGCAAAGCTGCAATAATGCCAGTACGATAAGAATGCCCACTGCTGTTGTGTAAAAGTGAAACAGGGAATACGGTTTCTTTCTTGAATAAACTATGAATGCAAATGTAATTAAGAAAAGGATTACCATGAGTATAAACATTGTGATTTTGTGCGTGTTTAGTGTTCTATCAAAATCGGTCGCTTTCACCTACTAGCAATGTTCGGCTCGTGAGCGAATCGTCCTATTGAACCGATTCATAAGTCCAGTTGAATCAAAATTTTTATTTGTAGCATCTACCAAATGTTTACAATCCGTGTGATAAGATCCTCGATTCTAATAACAGTCGGACAATACTCACAGCTGAACTTCATAAAGTCACCATATTAAACCTCACACTGTAACACCTCTTTTAATTTCTTTTAATTTCCTCTGTTTAGATGGGCTTGCTCTTTTTGTGCCTTTGCATTACGAGTCTGACTCGATTAGAGAGCAGAAGTAGCAACATCGGCCTCGCAGAGCCGAATCTCATTGAAATCGGAGGAAGTGGTTTAGGAAGTATAGAATCGTTGAATCGCTTTGATTCATTGAAGCGGACGGTGCGAATGAATCGGTTCGGTAAATCGATCTCCACATCCAACTGCCGCGTGCTCAGAGCGCGCGACCCCGCGTGGTCACACAGAGGCGGTAACGCTCTCTCTCTTCTCTCACACACCTCGAGTCCGTGTCTCTCAGCCGGCCGCTGAGACATGAGGAGAGGAAACGCGGAGCACGGACACTGCTGCCCGAACGTGGACACGGACGGACACACGGTCGCCTCGTGAAGCGCGTCGAACACAACGTGGAAAAAAAATTATGCGTGCAGCGGCCGCGCGCATCGAAACAGACAAAAAAGCAGCAGCACCGTTTTCACTCCGGTCTCCAGCATCATCAGAATCCGTGCGAGTGGAGGATTTGGAGACAAGGATTTAACGCTAACGACGACGCGTAAACGAGGGGAGCTGAGCGTTTCTAGCCGAGGAATACGCCTACTGTTCCGGGCAGAGAGAGGCGTCTAACCCCGCGGTCTGAATCTTTAGTTAACGGAGCGAAGCCGAGCTGACGGAGCTGCGAGATACTGAGGAATAAACAAACAGAGCGATCCGCCTCAGAGCCGGCTGGCTGAAGAGGAACACGAAACGGACGACAGACGGAAGATGCCTCACACCGGTGAGTAGACGAGCAGGTTTCTTTAAGAAGGAGAAATATGATAGCGTGTTCGTTCTTTCCTGTGAATGTTTTTAATAAATTAGTCCTGTCTCGTCGCTAACCGTCGCGCAGGAGTCCCAGGCTAGCGTTAACGTTAGCCGGCTAACTCGCTAACGCTGACAAGGTGCTGAAATGTTTTCACGGGCGAGAGCGGCGACGCTTGTTTCCCTTCACCACTCGTAAGCCTTTATTTCTCTGCTTCTTGTTTCAGTTTAGCCCAAGGTTGTGATTTTATTCAGATGAATTGCACCTCATGTTTTTATTGGGTTCGTTTCGAAGTCTCCCAGACGGTACGTTAACCGTTGTCAGGTAACATTAGTTCGTGAAAATTTACGTTCGCCTGGTGAGCAAAGACAACAAATACTCGCCCGTGTGCAGGGCTTGTGTTCGGTAGTGGCTAGCTGGCTAAATCATCCGAAAAAAACAGTCATTCACTCCGGCTGAACCAGCATATAACGTTAGATGTGCTCATAGGCTCATATTGTATTTCATTTATACGGCGAGATGGGTGTATATTGTGATTAACTCTGATCCGGTTGAGTTTATTCAGCCGTTACATGTCAGGTCGCAAACAGCCCAAACAAAACAACCAAAAGGAAACAAATTATGTTTGCTTGACTTCCGTCTGTTGTTTAGCAGCAGGTTATGGTAGTTTTCTTAGACAACATTGGCTGAACGGAATCCTGTGAGCAATAAAATTTAACCGAGTAATTTATTAGGCCCAATGAGGCGCATGTAACAGTAATGATGCCTTTATAAGGACCATTTACTTAGCAGTTTTACTTGGTTAATGTAATTTAAGTAAAGCAAATGTGAGAAAATGTGACCCTTAACTGATCTGGTAGAACAGAAATGGGCAATGGAAAGTGGCTCCATATTGTATGAGTTGATAAAAACACTTGGAGCTCATTTTGGGATTAAGCTACAGCTGCGATAGTAAAGCCACTTTGGAAATCTGTAATCCAGGTTCATTGTGTGGCACAGCTGACTAAAACAATCCCACCTGGATTATATGGTCAAGGGGCAGAGCCTGGCGAATGGAAGAAAAAGAGCGTTAGGTAATGTGGCTCTGTTGCAGTGACTGAGTCAGTGTGTGCTCTGCCTACCGTGGCTATAGTGGCACTCTCTATCACATGGCTGACCTGGATTGGGCAGCAGAATTGGTCGTGTTTGGGTCTGGGTCTGTCCAAATAGGAAGAGCATTGTGCCCCAGATTCTTCCATTGCTTTTGTGTGTAAAGCTCACGTCCAGTCTGCATCATGAGCACAGGGGAAAGGGGCATGTGCCAGACTGTCATCAGAAGTGACATCCACCATTCATTGGACTGCAAATAGGGCTGGGGGACCCATTGTTCTTGTTTTTGGCCTAAAGTAGACTGCAGACAACACCATTTCCTAGTTTAAAACTAACAGTTCTAATTACTTTTGTGTGAAAAGTCCGAAATAGGCATTTTAAAAGGTTTAGTCTTGTTTAGTCTTTCTCTGTTTTTTTTTCTCTTTTTTGTGGTGTTATGATTTGGCACCAATAAGGCATATGCTGACAATACCCCAAAATGGACTCTACTTAAACTGTTCCCCAGATAAACTATATATTATGGGTACATTTTACCTGTAATCTGAGTTTTTAAATGAGTAAGAACAGGAAGTTCCAACATAGTTTGACAGCTTTGTTGTGATCAAGACCTGTGAGACAGAGTGTGTAGCAGGGATTAGCCCAGCTGGCCAAAACACACCCGATTACATTTTTTTCTCAAAAGTTTGTGAAATCAGTTAAAATTCAGATCAAGAAAGATCTAGATTTTTATGGAAGAACAGTGTATTAGCTGTGCAATTCAAAGAATTGAAAAAGTCTGAAAAGGTTAAAATAGTGTTGTTTTTTGAAAAGCATGTAAAATGTTTAGAAATCAATAACAGTGTTATTATAGTTTATTATATTGTGTCAGCTTTGCAGCAGAGGTATTTTGCGTGATAAGTGTTTAGGTGTGAAGAAACTGGCTCCTCTGCTAAACCCTGACTTCCTGCTCTTTTCATGCTGTGCCAAACTGCCACCAAATGCTGCTGTTATCTCAGCTGTAAATTACAGTGGCACCTTTGGAATGTTAGTCCTACGTAGACACCGAATGTCTGGATGATCCAGCTGTATTTTTTACCTTGGACTACGGTATTTCAGTCAGTAGTTCTAAAAGTTTTTGTGCTCAAAAAGCTTATGTTTTTGTTGTATTTCCACATTTGCTGTTTCTTTTGAAATTAATTTCTAATTTGCTACATTTCAAAGTAAATAACCCATTTAACAGAACTGTTGTAGTTTATTGATTGTGGTAACTTGGTCTAATACCATTTTGATGTCTTATCTCTCTCTCTGTCTCTCCGTTGCCCAAACCATAGTTTGTTTTTAGTTCAGGCAAAAATTTAGCTTTAGTCACTGCTTTCATTCACACACGCGCTGGCACATATTTTATCAGGGGGAAAATCCCCCACAATTCTTTTTGTGAATACTCCCCCCCTTCTCGCTCTTGTTCTCTTTCACACACACATTTTTCCCACCCATTCCACCACCACCCCCTCCAGCCTGTTGTCCCTTCTCTCTCTCCCACTGCTCACTGATCTCCCTCTGAGACCTTGATGTCCCTCTCCCCAAATACAGTCTCTTCCTGCCCCCACTCCCCTTGTTATATGCACTTTTTTGTCATTTAGCTACACCATGTCTCACCCCCTCTTCCTCCCTTCCTCCCTTCCACCACCCTAACCCTTCTGCCCCCTCCCTAAACACACACACTGCGTCCCCTGGCTCCCTCTTTGTCTGCCTCAGTAAAGCAGCAGAGCCTGCTCAGTCCCAGGGGATTAATGTGTGTATGCCAGTGAAGTGAGGGATGGAAAAAAGTGGGCAGAGACAGAGGGGACTCGCTGATGTGCAGTGTGTGTTGTGTTTAAAGTTTTTTGGAACTCTATGGGAGCAGACGACACCGCGTGCTGAGGTACATAATTGGAATCGGAAGATGTTCACTCCTAATATGCGATCGACAACAGGGCTATTTATTTTTCTTTTGGCCAATCTATGTTGAAATTTTTTTGGCATAATTAATATGAGCCAGCTGAGTTGTGTGTTTGTATGCTGTTGCTGTACCTTGCCAAAAATTGTCAGATGGTGGCTGTTGATACTTTGGCTGGTAAAAAGCACAAAAAACGTATATATTTGCATATATACTCATATGCCATAAGTACCGGGGTCTGTTAAACAGGACAATTATAGGTATTGATTTTAAGGAGTTAAAAGTTCCAATAATATCAACTGGTGTCATTTCATAGTTATATTTTATTTTCATACTCCAGTATTTTTATTAAACAGTGCTTTGTGAGCTGTGAATTGTCAGATATGATTGTAAATTTTTAAGTGTCACTTTTTGCACTAAACTGCACAAATAATTATATACTTAAATAAAATTTATATATATATATATATATATATATATATAAACATATCCTAGCACAGTGGCTGGTCTATCCAGCATCAGTTCTTAGTTTTTATATATTATAACGTAATAATCTTATCCTGAAGACTGAATTTAGATCTATTATCAAATGCAATACCGGCCATCTGACAAATTATTTTTATGATATTGCTACATATTATTTTTATGATATTGCTACACTTTGTTAAATGCAAAACAGACCTAATAACAAATGGGCTACAGTAACAGTAGACTATAGGCTAATCTAACACGGTAATTTTTAGCCATTTTATTGTTTCAACAAAAAGCAATTTTTAGGCTTGTAAAGTGCGATTTGCTAAACCTTTAGCAAGAGCTACTAACTCATATGTTTATATGTTAAAGTAGGTTTATTTTCTTCAGTTAAAACAGGCTTCTCTGTGGTGTTGCTGCATTGCTTCCCTTTCTGAAACAAGACAAAATGCCACCAGTATGAGCTGAAAGGTACTTCAGCCTGTAAATGTTCATTTATACTTCCGCAAAGATGCACGTAAACATACTATGTAGCTCACAGAGGCTTGCAGTGGCCACAACGTGAGTCTCAACTACGCGGCATGCAAATCTCCAGAGCCGTGCATCAGGCTATGCTGACTGGCTTATCTCATGACACTGGGGGTGAGACGAGACTCAAACAATGCTTAACCTGAACCAGATCTCCCGAGGTTAGAAAGTATTACAGAACACACCTTTGAAATATCATAAAAACAATTGAAATGAGTATTAATTCTTGCAGACATTGCAAAAATGCAAGACTTTCCTCTGTGTTTTCTTTACTTTCTCGTTTAGACACTGATTTAGACATATTCACATTACGTTTAAGTATGTTGGCAGACACCAATGGGAACATCTGCATATGGTGCCTGCACATGTTCAGGTACACAGACTCAGAAGTATAATTCGGCCGCCTGGGAGTGCTACTTAGAAAGTTAAAGTTCATACATTAAACACTGCTATATAATAAAATACACTGACGCCGTGTGTTTATGATTATACATTTATAAATTTAAAATGTTAATAGAATGAATCCATTATCTCATTCTTTTGTGTTGCTACAGCTGTTTATAAAAATGAATTCTATGTCTTCTGGGAAAATTTGTGGTTGCTCCTCTGAATGCTTAATCTGAAGTTAGTGCACATCCGTACATTAGGCCTACCCAACATCCTACATGCAACAGGTAATGAGTAAATAAGCAATATTGTTGCCTGTTGCCTAAAAAAACAATTTAGCTGTAAAGAAACCAGAGTCTGACAGAATTCCATGATCAGTGCGATCATAATGTTGAGGGGGTGGGGAGTTGGAGAGTGAATAGAGAACATATTAAGCATGCTGAGGACCTCAAAAGTGATGAGTTAAGCCTGTGGCAGAGAAAGTCAAGAGCCGCGGAGGACTCTATACCTCACGTGATGCCACAGAGACGGCTTGTCTCTCTGAAAAAACTAGTTAGGTAGAATGTCAACATCAGTTATGCTGGGC